AATAGGCGGGTTGGATGGCTGAATGGTTAGCGTGTGCGCGCTGTATCATAAAGTCTGTCAATGAGTCGACTGGCATGGTTTCGAATCCCCGGTTGTACGTGGCAAGGAGTAGGGTCACCTGTCCAACCTCGTGGGTTTTCTCCGGGTCCTCCGGTTTCCTCCCACTGCTAAAGACCCCTACGCGCAAGCGAATTATTGAAATAAAATTAAAAACCATATGTTAGTCCCGAAATGACCTAGTTTGTGTCGAATGGACGTTAAACCCCATTTCTCTCTCTCTCTCTTGATAATTAATTATGTAAGCCATTCAACATAGAATAACTATATGTCCTGTATTTTATTAAATCTGTTTGTGATGATTTTATACACCAAATATAGTGGGCCAGCTAAGTGTAACAATCTTTAAATCTGGATACATTATACAAGCACTAAAATTTGCACGGGTGTCTGTTTACGGTCATTTATTAATCAGCCACTTTAATTTTTAAAATGGCTGTCATTTTCCAAGATGGCTGCCATTTTTTGTTTTTGTTTCACATAATTTTACTCTCTGGACCAATTGCAAGGATTTTTATACATGTCTGAACATCCGGGCATCCTTTCACATTTGTTTGTGGCCAATCTAGAGGTCACAATTTGTATCCAATTACCGGTATGATGAAACTTAAAATGTGTGTTTATAACCCCAAGATCCCAGATAGTTTCCAGTTTAATGCGCATCGGATGGCAACTTCTTGCATTATGGCCCCCTACCTTTTACTTATAGTGAAATATGTGCAAAAGTTGTGGGCCCTCCAGAGGTCACAATTTTTGGTCCAATTCAGTTGAAACTTATGATACGTTAACAATCAAAAGATCTTGGAGGAGTTTGATTTATGGTCTGCATCAGACTGCAACTTCTTGGGTTATGGCCCTTGCTTTTTACGCAAAATGTTATTTATGTACAAAGTTTGTGGACCCTCTAGAGCCCTCGATTTTTGTTCAATTTAGACGAATCTTGATATATATGTTAAAGATGAACAGGACAACATAGTGTGATATTTGGTTGCCTGGAATTGTGGCAATTTTGATACTTGTGTCCACATTTGAAAGATTATTAAAGGAGCTAAATTGACACAAATGGGTCGCAACGCATATATAATATATATAATATGAATGTTTATAAACTGATTTATGTTCCAATAATTTGTATGGGTTTAGGTTACTTTACCAGTTATTGGAAACTGGATGGAAACAATGATCAATGACTAAATGATAGACCCTATGATCTACAGCGTAAGCATTAGATCATTCATCCACATTTACATAACATATATAACAATGAATAATTAGCACTAAGCATATAATAAATAGATGTAAATATAACAGAATTTATTAAATCATGCTGATATACTTAAAACAGTAATGAATTATATACCATCTGGAGTTTTCATAGCATTATCCTTAAATCATGTTCATCAAGCATCTATGAGGGCTATACTATATACTGGAAAACTACCGGAAAACACCATGTTATACTGAATACCGGAAAAACACTAAATACCGGAAAACACCCTAAATAGGTAACCCGGAGAAGGGCTATACTATTAACCGGAAACTAACCCTAACCCTAACCCAGGCACACAGAGGACCAGACTCCGGGTTACCCATTTAGGGTGCCAGTCTCGGGTTACCTATTTAGAGTATTTTCCGGTATTTAGTATGTTTTCCAGTATTTAGTGTTTTTCCCATGTTTTCTGGTATTCAGTATAACATGGTGTTTTCCGGTTGTTTTCCAGTGTTTTTCAGTGTTTTCTGGTGTTTTCCGGTTAATAGTATTGTCGCATCTATGACAGTAATATTGAAATGTTTTAGTTGATTTTAGTTGGTATCTGATTAGTTGAATCTACCTCAATAGTAAATTAATCATATCACATTAATTTCAATGATCCCCTTTCGAAGACACTAGTGCCCAATATAATTTGTTTTCTGGTAATACAGACAAAATAAAATATATTCTTTACTGTATTGTAACCCTTTAGTACAAGTTGCTATACACCATCTGTAAATCCAATTTCTCTCTCTCTCTCTCTCTCTCTCTCTCTCTCTCTCTCTCTCTCTACCCAAATTTGCATTTCTTTTTACAAGTTTGTCTACATTTCTTTTTACAAGTTTGTCTATTGAAATAGAATATAGTTGGAATGGCCACATACACAAACGTAAACATGATACTGGCTATATCTATTATGATTTGTGGTAATGATAAATGAAACATTTGTATGACAGAAACTGGATCCATTAATATTTGAAATGTGATAAAAGAGATTAAAAATCTTTTTGCAAGTTGAAAATCTTTTTTGCGTGAGGCATTGGAAACTTGATGTATAGAACTGTCTGGATGAGATGCTACCTGTATTCGCGACTTGTGGACATACCGCACAATTTTAAAATGACAAAAAACTGTTAATGATGTCAATATCAGAAATTGGCATGCCAGAAATATTGAAGGAAGAATGTTACCTTGTGGATTATAAACACAAGCATATAATTTATGTTCATATTTTACATTTGTTACAGCTTCCATTGAGATTAGTATACCAGGAATGAAACTTAATCCCCAAACAATCAATAGTTCCAGTAAAATATTCCAAGTTGTTCTTTCTTCTTTGTCATGTCTAACAATCCGTTTGTACCATTCGTAAGCTATGAAGAACATGCAATAAATACACACTGTGTAGGGTACAATGCTAAGTCCAGCAAACAGACGACAAATCAACATATTCTGAATCCAGCACGGCCCAATCAAACGTGTGTAATTAATACAGAAACTAACAGGTGTAATAATCAGAGAGCTTAGGTTAATGCTCAACATGTGAATGTGCATGATTATTTTAATCTTGCCAGCCAGAAGAATGTGAAAAAAAGAGCTGACATTTAAAATAACAGCTAGGAACAGTACGAAAAAGTAAATGCTGGCTGTCACTATAGTTGAAATATTTGGATCACTGATTGAAATGTTGAATTTTTTTTCACATTCTAATTTTTCCTCTGATAGCATTTTTAACTTTTCTCTTCTGAAACATAATTCTTATAGCAATTAAAATGGCTGTCCACATATACTTCACAAAATGTACTTTTTCAAAAAGAAAAAAACTCCTGAGACCTTAAAAGTACCAATTAATGGACTAGCACTATGTAGCTTTGCACTTTTTTGGTATTATTATGATTATTGTTGTAATCCACGGGTAAAAAAGAAGCCTGTACAATTACACAATATATAAATGAGAGTAACAGTTTGTAGCAATTGTCTGCTTCTCAGGTTTTAAGCATAGCTTTATATACAGAACGTTGTGTATATTTATTGATTGATTTTCTACCCTTGGTAATATCATTATCACTATCAAATGGCCTTTATTTAAAAGCTGATATGCTCTCTTTAGAAATGATAAAATAATTTATTTGGGTACCAAATTGTGACAAAAAGCAAATTTGTTTTTTGAACAGGCTTGAATATGATATTTTTTAGTTATACGGTACGTTATTTCTATAAAGTTGTATTGAAAGCCTATAATTCTTGTATGATCAAAAAAGATTTTCTACAATACTCTGTTCAGCATTAAGAAATATATTTTTATGCAAAGTTACTCTACTTATAAACTATACGCATTGTAGGACATGTACACACATTTTGACAGATAATTTTAGCATTTATTACGTTTGAACCCAAAAATACATCCACGTTGTCTGGCATAACCAATATAGTTTTTAAATTCTTGTTCCGAATCTGGAATGTGATTTCAACCAAATAGGGCTTAAATGAGGAATTTTCTTATCCGCTCGTAGAGTATATGAACTTAAAAGGATTTAAGGTGGTCAGACTTACTGCATGAAGAGGTAATTAAGGCCCTGTGGTCCACTCTAATTATGTATTTACACTTAAACTCCTCAACTATTAATCCAATTGTGTAGATCATATTCGGGTTATTAAAACAATGATTTATCTATTGGTCTCAGCTATATAATGCTTTTATCACAATGTTATCTTATGATTATTGATAGAAAACTGTTGGGTTAATAAATGGGTTTTCTGTATTATAGCTTTCAATCTGGTTTTTATCAATGGTTATGTCATCAACATACCCATTATTCCAGGAAATTCAACACTTTGATCAAATCACAGAGTTATTTTTAAATAATGAAATCATGTGAACACTAAGCAGGGAAAAGTTCATGATTGAAAATTTATATGCCCACATTTTAATGTCGTTCATCCATCAGTTTGTAATTTCTTATTAACACACTAGCTAGTTACTAAATCATTATCTACTATATCATTATCGGTTCTTTTTTAATATATTACATGGTGTTGACAGCTTGGTAAAAGCATGACTTCTGCCATTGATTTTTGATAATTTTTGATTATAATTTCAGGAGTTCTAGCCCTTAATCAAGAAACCTTGTTATCAGTTAATAATTAGTAGCACTTTAGAAACTACACAAACATTAGTGGCTTTCTTTTCTATGAAATTTTGATAATGTCTTCAGACTAAAAAAAATAACGAAACTTCATTAAAACTCTGCAGACTACAAAAATATGTATGGAATTTTAATCATATGTTAAATTTGTAAAAGTAATGAAACTTTCTTAAGTTTTGTTTTATGATAGACTTTATCATTCTGAAATATCCATGTCATTGTTTGGGGGCAGTTATTGCTTTCATTATTTCGTTTTTATGGAAAATAGAGGAGCTATATTTGGCTTTATTTGTAGTTTTGTGTAAGTGAGAACTTGTCTCATCATGAATATACAGATAGTGATTTCTTGATAACTAATGAATACTTTTAACAGCTAACAGTTTCACAGGTTGTCATTTGAGAAGTTAGGATAGAACTGGATACAACAGAACTGTACTTAGCCCTGTAAATTTGTAGTATGTTGCAATTTTGAAAAAATAGTTGTCAGCAATCTTTCAATTTAAATGAACTTACAAGAAAACCAAATTTTGTTCAATTTTTTACAGAGATCAAGACACAGTTCAGGTGCTTCAATTACAAGTTTGAAAAACAAAAGATCCGAAAGTCAAGATGGCAGCCGGCGTAAGATGAACACTCCACAGGAATCACCAGAAGTTCGTCAACATGGACATACAGAAGAACAATGGCATGTGGAACTTAGAGAAAGCTTTAATAATCAGTATATTAGTTATCTACAGAATTTGGGCTTCAGGAAAATACATGTTCAGTGCTCGGCAAGAAAAAGGTAAATGACAAGTGGCCAAAATTATTGAATGTACATGAGTTCCACAGCACTGGATATTAAAAAGATCTCAAAATTTCCAGCCTGCATGATAATTCCCTCTTTCAATTGACAAGATTACCAAGAATTATCTACTACGAACAATTGAGTCTAGCAGTAGTCATTTTAATGTGGTCGAATAATGGTGTGTCTCTTGTCCATTTATTGTCCATTCACATTTCTGGTATAATAGAGCAATCAATAATCCATATACTGTATTCATATAGCTTCATCTTAACTGTTTAAATCTTTTGTTTTAAACAGAGCTAGTAGGGGGAAATCAAGCGATGGCCAGAATTTATCTACTGATGATACAAGTTTAGGTATTATAAATCTACAGAAAACTTTAACAGCTGGTATAATATTGATGGAGATTAGTTATAGAGAAGAATTCTTCTGTGTTAAATTGTTTGTTTTATATATAACACATATTAATACAAATATAAATCAACAATCAGCTGGAGCTCAAATAAACCAACAGGTTTGTATATTAATGAGAACTTTAGGTCTGATAATGATGCCCCCAGTCAGGGAATGAAATTGGTAAAAAAAATTAAGCATTTTATCTGTTCATATATTTTTAATTGAAATTTAGTGCACTGATTTACTTACAGAACCATTCGGTGAAGATTCAGTTTTACAGAATTTTATTCCTTTCACATATATTTGGATTATATATTCACAGAATTTTATTTTATTCACAATATCAGCCTTTTATAGATGGTATTAATTTTGCAATATTCTCAAAATTCTTGTTATTTGTATAATTTAGATGATATTATTTGTATATTTTAGATCATATTATTTGTATATTTTAGATCATATTATTATTTCTATATTTTAGATGAGATTGTTATTTGTTGATGAATGTCAGAAATATAAAGACCTGATACATGTTCATTCTTTTGCTCATGATTTTCACCTACGCTGTATTCAAAGATATATTAGTGGAGAAGACTGTGTATTCCATCAAGGTTTTCATCTTACCAACTTCTTGACAGATTTTTCCAACATTTATTCCTATCCTCCAAGTTTCTCCAGAAACTGTCTACAGCATGGTAAGTATGAAGATAACAAAAAGCCATTACAGATTTTTAGAGAATATAACTTAATTGTGTGTAAAAGACTCTTAGGAAAGTTTATCATAGTCCAATGTAGGAATGGGTCCACTACTGATGTCTTCAGTGTCTTGCCTCCAGCCACAGTAGTGGATGGTTCTAAGAACTTCCTTTGTGCAAGTTTTGTAATCATTTGATAACAAAAAAGTTACAGCCTTGTAACACCCTTAATTTCCATATAGTTGAATATATAATAAATCAATTCCCATTTAAATAAAAAATGATACCTTGCCACATAATTATGTGATATACTATTCTGTGGCTACGCGATATCTATTTCCTTTTTCTACTTCAAATGGCTGTCTTAACAAGAATTAGTATGCACACGACATCGCACATGATGAAACGTCACATTCCATATATGGATTCCTTGCTAATAGTATTTGGTTATAGTAAAAAAATCATTTTAAGTAAGGAAAACAATGGGTGGGGCTATGCGATGCAATATCTGGTGAGATATCTATCACCTGGATGATATCATGGCGCCCTGTACATCATTAGAAAAATCCCTTGGAAATGAAGAATGATCTCGGTTTCATTTGATATTGCCATGTATCGGACAGTTACTTCATGAATTATGGCCCTGGATTGTACGAAAAATGACGTTTTTAGCTTGTGGACCCTCCAGAGGTCACAATTTTTATTAGTGTTTGGCACGAATATTTGAATATTTGCTCATCGAATATAATATTCGAATATTCGTATAGCAGTCACCCAATCACCATATTCGAATATGCTGTCACTCAAGAATCTAGTTTTGGTGATCAAGTAATTGTCAGATGTAACAGTGCTGAGCTAAAAGATACCAAACATAACAGATGTGGATGATTCAAGAACAAGATCAAACTCAAATGCTCTAGTTGGTGCCATAGCAGTCTATGTTGTAAAATGAATAATTAGAATGAATGTATGCACAAATTGATAATGTTATTCAATAAATAAATGAATAAATATGCAGTGCCTCTTTATATTATTTTGTTTAGTTTGTAGGTTGTGTTTTATGACTAGTAAAGTGGTATTTAATTATTATATTTGTAGAAAGTGTGCTATTAATAATTGATGGTATCTGTTGTAATTAGATATATACAGCATTATTAGTATTTGTTTATCATATTCACAGAAAGTGTGGTATTGCCAGACAAGCTGTGTTCTAGTGATGATGTATTTGAGTATATGATAAAACAGATGAAACATTATAATATGAAGGTTATTAAAATGAAGGCTTTCTTTGATTATGATGTTGAACCTGTAAGTATATTTTTATATTGGTCAATCAAAGGGAGGAGACTACTATCAAACTTTAAAGCCTCGCATTTGCAGGGTTATTTTATCTGTCTCATCTTGTCAAGTATAATGAGTACTGCATGAATCTTATTCAGCCCTCACTTCAGTATGGTTATTTGTCTTATAGTCATTCTTATACTCAGCCAAATTAAAAACTTGACACTCAGGATTTTTGGGACTAAATTTTTAATATTTGGTTTAAGGCAACTATTTTAGTGTTATGTTGTGCACAGACGACCTTGGCATCAACAGAAAGCAAGAATATGTCTCGCCGAAAGTCCTTGACATTGATAACGTTCGTGATGTCACAGTACCCCCCAAAATGAAATTCACAGACTTGGAGAACAATCGAAATAAAGTGTTTAGTAACGGTTGTGGCCTCCTCTAGCGTCTCGTACTGCCACACAACGTCTTCTCATGGATCTCAGAACATTAGTAAACACTACCTGAGGAAGACGTCGCCACTGCTCAGCAAGAGCATGTTGAGGGTCTTGCAACGTCAGTGGTGGATTCACTTGCTGACGAACACGTCGACCCAGTTCGTCCCAGATGTGTTCAATAGGATTAAGGTCGGGGCTAAGCGACGGCCAATCCAGGACTTGGACACCGGCATTTCTTAAAAAATTCTGGGTAGCAATTGCTGTATGGGGTCGAGCATTGTCTTGTTGAAACGTTAGTCCAGGCCCATGTCTCTGCATAAACGGAAGAAGAACAGGTTGCAAAATCTGATCCCTGTACTGGACAGCATTTAAGTTCCCTTGGACAACAACAAGAGGAGATTGTCCATGTGCACAAAAAGAACCCCAAACCATGACGCTGCCGCCACCAAATCGGTCAACTTCTCTGACGCATACTTGAGCGTAACGTTCACCTCCTCTGCAGTACACTCGGGCCCTGCCATTGGCAAATATCTTGTGGCCCACACAAGTCGGTTACGGCGATGAAGAGGTGTCAATATTGGTCCATTATAGGGCCATCCGAGCTCGAAGACCAGCAGCCTGCAAGCGATTTCGAACAGTTTGTGCAGTTACCTTTCCACCAAACATCTCTCTACTTGTGGAGGTTGCAGTGACAAATCTGTTTCTAAGATGACGTAATCGTATTGCTTGATCTTCCTGGAGTGACGTCACACGTGGCGCTCCCGCCCTTGGGCGGTCGGCAATAGTTCCAGTTTGAAGCACTCTCATTCTAAGATTAATTATTGTCTGGCGTGAACAATTAAAGGCTCTTGCAACAGTGACCACAGACTGACCAGCATAGAGCCTACCTATAGGACGTAGACGTTCTACATTTGAAAGGCACGGCATTTTCTAACAAAGATGAAAATAACAATTTTAATTTGTTTTTCCAGTTCAAGTTACGTGTGCGGGTTCAGTTTAAGCAAACTTGCATCGATTGACCTCACGAGTTTGTGTTTGCACGTGTTTTTCAGGTTTTTCATCTTTATATGCTCAAAAGTCACGTGATCCACGTGACTTTACAATTTTATGAAATTAAAGGCTTCTTACTACTTACTATCGTTAGAAACACTTTAAAATTTATTTGACTTACCAGAAAAAAAAATTTGTTGAAATTCATCAGTGTCAAGTTTTTAATTTGGCTGAGTATATAAGACTAGGAATTCAGAATCTGGTTTTCTCTTAAAAATAACTTTTAGATTTTGTCATGTTATGGCAGAACTCAGTTTATGGACGAGATAAAATGAGCAGATGGAGCATTTTTTAGTCGCCTAATTAAACTTTGAGATATTTGATTAAAATTTGGTACACTGCTGTGTATGGCAGAGCTATGAATCATGTTTGAGTTTCTGTTTTATATTGACTGAATGATGGCCAGTTGACTTAAAATCAATAAAACGTTTTGAAATTAAACTTTGAGATACCTGATTGAAGTTTGGTAAACTGTTGTATCTAGTATAGTTTCAGATCAAGTTAGTGTTTCACGGGATTCTGTGGAATGTTGATTTAGAATCATGGAAAATTCTGTTTTCCTGAATTATTGGAGGTCAAACTTCAAAATATTTGATTGAAATTTGTTACACTGCTGTATATGCAAAGCTACCCATCAAGTTCATGTTTTGTGTGATTCCATTAATTTTTGATTGTATTATGGAGCCTTAGATGACTTAAAGATCAAGTTTGCATTCATGTGATTTTGTTTTTTGTAGGGGAGTCACGGTGGCTAAGTGGGTAAGACACCGGCTTGCTAGCCTCTAAGTCGGGTGTTCGATTCATGCATTGGCCGAGAAAGTTCATCCAGATTTTCCGGCGTGGTTCCGCCTTGTCAGTAATGCAGGACGGAGGGCCTGACAGGGACTGCTGTCTAGTCATTCAGATGGGATGAAAAACCGAGGTCCTGTGTTCACATTGGCGTGCACGTAAAAGGTCCCATGACAGTTGGAATTCGATATAAGAGTAGGCCGTAGTGCCACTGTTCGGGCAAAATTCCCCTCATAGCACACGGTATGGTGCATGCCCGTCTTCATAAGCCCAGTTGGAGCAGAACAGTAGGACATTAAACCCCATTCCAATTCATTTCATTTCTGTTTTTTGCACTGAATTATGATGTTGCATTGACTTAAAATCAGTGGAAATTAAGTTTTCCGAAACTGTTTTAGTTTAAACTTTGACGTATTTGATTGAAATTAAATACACTGTTTTACATAGTGTAGTTACAGACCAATCCAGTGAAGATTTAGTTTTACAGAATTTATTTTATCCAAATGTATTTGGATTATATATTTGGATTATGTATGTATTTTCAGTATTCACCTCTTTTAGATGCAAGTATCGTAAAATTTGTTGGGGCCAGTAGGGGACTAGAATTGCTTCAGTAACAATCTCAATATGCTTGTTTTTACTATCAGCTATAGCTGTCAAGGGATGATTATATCTACATTACACATACGGTTGGTGTTTCCTGTGATACGTATTATTTGTTTGTTTTTGTTTTTTCAGGATTATTGTTTTGTGAAAAATGATGAATTTGCCTTGGTAAGGAATCGTAAACTGACAGAAACAGATAAAAAGCCAACAGTTAAAGAAGCGGACGATTATGATGTTGGTATTATCATTACACAGGATTCCTTACAAAATCTAAAACCGGGTTTTGAAGCTGATAAAACAACACTACGATTGAAATACTTTCTTTTATTGACACGAAGGAGTAATTGTTTCCCTATGAAGAATTTAGAGAAGAGATTAGGGGGAATACATCCAAGACTTCTAGCTCTACCAACAGGTAACTTGTTATTTTCTTCACTCCCTACTTTGGAGAATTAAAAAATAATGATATGTCTTTTCTAACTAAATCAAGCAGTTGCCATGGGAGATACACCCACAATTTGCAAAAGAACTGTAATCAATGTCGCATTCAGAAGATTTTCGGCATATACAGGTAAATGCTTCAAACCAAATTTGAAAAATAATATATCTGTTAAAACTGTAGCCTATATCGTATTCACAAAATTTTTGGTTAAGGGGGCATAATTTTGAAATGAAAGGTCGCAGAAACCTGATTATCGATAGGGTTTGTCCTCTTGTGACCCCAATGGTTCAAACCAAATTTAAAAAAAAAAAATCTGTTAAAAACAATAGCCTCTATCTTTTGTACCTTAACATAAATCTAAAGTTTCATTTAAATTGGATAAGAATTGTTGGCTCTAGAAAGGCGTTCATTAGGTGAATGTTGATGTTGATTTGGTGACTGTCTTGTTTGAGTTCAATGATTAACATTTCCAACTAAAGCTAAGCAGAGCTAAGCAATTTCTTTGACTTTGATTCTATCTGGTAGAGAGTGATAGTTAGTGTATAGTTGATAATCAATTTGATTGCTCGATACTTCTGAAAAAGATAAATGTGCAATGAATTCATATGTGTCATCTATTTATTTCGGGATTTCGGCTGGGCACATCAGCCACGTGCTCTATAGAAAACACACTGACCTGGATGATTTGGAGTTGTAATAGAATAACTTTGAAATGAAGATAAATATATAATTGTCCACGGCATATTTCTCACATTTATCGGTTTCAGCCCATCTCTTACGGCATTACGGACCGCAAAATTGTGGAGTAAATCCTAATAATTTACAACTAAATAACTAAGGGATAACTAACTTCACAGCTAGCGACACTATTGCCCCCAAGATTATCATTGTGTATAATAAGAGTAACCATATATACACAACATTTTTGCACACGTGGAATTATCATTGCTACACAATAGCACTGGAATATGTAATTTTCGTAATTTTTCTGTAAGCAAGTTAACTAATCTCTAGATTTAATTCTACAATACCCACAAAGCCGTAATACTGCTGTAAAAATATTATAATGCATTTTTCTCCCAACGCGTACGTTATTGAGGATTTACGTAATTCTTATGCTGTTTTTATTTGATATGACAGATGGTTGGATTCGAAGAGTAGTACTTCATATCTGATTACCCTTATTCGAAAATCATAATAATCTTGTTTACATTGTGCGTGAGTGTAATAGCGGTAAAACAACTTTGTTCTAGAGAATTCTTATGACATGTGGGTGATCAAATAGTGAATGATGAAAAATGGACCACTTCACGCCTTTGATAAGATTCCCACATATCAATTAAGTTTTATTGTTCTACTATCAGACACTCGTCATTAATTATCAACACAACACTCAGTATAATCTGTTGACGACTATGTATACAACTCTATAACACCAGTCACAAGATTATGTGGCTTCTGTAAGTGTGCATTATTCTGTACTCGCTGTACAATTTTATAGTTACATAGTGGAGGTCGATCATAGTCATGTTTAAAAATTGGGTTTTGAAAAAATGGCTATTTTCCCGGCATGCAAAATTACCAATGGGTCAGATCTATTTACGGTCATTTTCCCTAGCCCTAGGTCTTGACCGGCATATACGACAACATGGAACCCATAGTTTATTCATTTGCCATGAACCAAATTGATGTGTCTGTTTTAATTATGATCGAGTCCAAGCCGGTAGATTATCTAGCATTGGTATTTTAATTTTGTCTTCTTAATTAAATGTTAAATAATCTTAAGTATGTGTTAGCATGAACTAAGCCAATATGCAAATCATGCATTGTTACTTTAATTACTCTTTGTGGATGTTCATTGTATGGTTATTTAAGTGTTTCAAAAATAATGCATTCTTGTAGGTTTAAGGCAAGATCATTTAAAATGCATGGTGGTGACTGGCCATGAATGTGACAATCTACCTTTGTTTGTTTTTGATAGATTTATAACAAACTCAGACAAAATTCAGTTCACAAGCATTGACCTCAATTTTGATGATATTTCTGTCAATACCATGGTTTTATTATAATTAACGTCCTGTCAATAATCATTTTAAAAACTGTGATAATTTAATTAAACTATTTTGTAATGAAATTTGTGTTAGATGTAACGAGAAATGATTCCGATCAGAGACCATTCTGAAAGGAACTAAAAAGTATATAACTACTGCTCTGTTATTTATTAACAATACTAAACTTGAAAGTGTTACCAATATGTGTTATAAAATGTTGTTATTAAATAACAGAGAAGTAGTTTTTTATATCCTTATATAACTCGTGGTAGTTAATCATACTTCTAGATGTCATAGATTGAAAATGGGCCCTATTAAACCTAATTATTTACTGACTTGTTTTACCTTTTACTACCAAGAATTGTGTAAATTTGACATTTAATTTTGGTATAGATAGACATTGGCGAAAAAGATATTGGAAATGCTAGCCTGTAAATGCACACAGAATTTAAGTGTCGGGATCAGTTAAACCTATTTAGGTTTTTGTGTTAATAGTTTGTTTAATTCAATAAACTGTCATGTTTTTAGAAACGTCACCAGTTGAACATAATGAACCAATGGAAACTGAGAGTGTTCGACCAGTACCAGTTAAACAACATATTGGTGTACGACAAGAAATGGTGGATTATCTAGGTTATTCCAATAAACATCAAACTTCTATTTATCAATTATCTTGTCAAGAAATGAATATTTGTAGGTATGTACTCAACAGAAATTATTAAAATTAAACCTTTCCCCCTTCAGTGAAGATAATCTTGTTTTCTCCATACTTTTGCTGAGGATAAAGGACATGTAAAGGGGTTTTAAATGGTGGCTTTATATTTTTGACTCCTTATTCAAATGTGGTTGTATATTCCCATCACTCCTCACTTCCAATTCATTGTGGATCCTCTCAAAAGTTATCACCTGATTGACTTAAAATATATTAGTAATATTCATTACTTATGTTAGTTAGATGAAGGAGCATCTATTTACTGGATTTAAAACAAATTTACAACCACATATTGTCGTCACTCCCGTCCGTCCATCCATCATCTGAATAAAATTTATGCACAGTGTTGATGTTTATGAGACGAAGAAGCCTGGTGATTTTCAACATGCCGATAATTAATGTCAAAGTTATGGCCTGTGATCAAATTTTTCAATCCCGTGGACACTCTGGATGCTAAAGTTAGCAATAATATCCAATTGAAATGAAATTTATAAACAGTGTTTATGTTCATGAGGCAAAGAATCATATTGATTTTCAATGATGTCTAATAAATACTGCTCAGGCAACTAAGTTGCTGTGGGTGTATGTTTCATTGCCTGGCAACCTATCTTAATTCATTACAAAATTGATTATAACCTTATTTTAGCAAAATAAAGAAATTGTCATTATTAATAATATGTCCCTGGAGTGTCACTATATATTAAATGTTAATCATGTATATTTAACAGGAGTGAATTAGAAGAAATGGTTTGCATGTCAAAAGAGAAATGTTGCCGTGATTTATTATGGAAGCGTATGTTGGTTCAGGTGGAAGATGATCAGAAAAAACGTCGGAGAACGGCTGATGTTGATGAAATACGAGACTCTGTAATTTATTTTTTACGTCTAGTAACAAAACAACTTGAGATATCTTTTGGTGAAAATACATTTTCCTTGTCTTGTCAACAGTCTTGTCTACTATACAAAATTCTCTGCTATGCAATTTGCCGTGACCATTAACATTATTGATCAATGTCTAAAGTTTGTGTTTTGCCTTTAGGGCAAGGATGAGACAAGATATTTGGCCTTCAATTACAATCACCATTCTATAGTTTTAAAAAATTGTTGGTTTCAAACATTATTGTATTTGATTAGAATGTAGAATATGCATATTTTAAAATTCCAGATGGAATTATTGACCATGGCTTGGACCTCCTCAGCTAACTGTTCACCCCATCCCTTCACCTGCCTCCACAAACTTCCACAATGCTAAACCCCACCCCTACTTCCATCAGTTGTACATTATTGCCATATTTACTGGTTATCCATATTTTGCTATTGTTTCCATATTGTTTCAACAATAATCAGTTACTGCACAGGTGACTAAACCATTTATGGACATGTTTATTTAGTTGCAAGGCAATCAATCTTTTCTTTTAGAATATGGTGAAGTTAAGTTTTGAAGAATTTCAAGAATTACTCAAAATGGTGAATAAAAATAGAACACCATTAAGTGACGAAGATGCTCAATTAATACCATTATGTACAATGCCATTACAGTGGTACCGTTCACTAGTTCCTGTTCTTATGTCTAAATACCCTACACAACATCGCACATTTACTTCAACAGATGGACAAAATCAATGTATTGTAAGTACAAATAGATTATTTTACTCTTTCAATTTCAGAATGTTAATATGTAATGATTTGTTAGATAGAAGCTCCAGTGTATTTTTAATCTTTCTAGAAAACTTGACACCACACGTTATTTATTTATGAAGTTCATATATCCAACCACTTATGCTTTACTTCTGTATTTTTTAAAGACATGATATTCAAGTCTAAATTAGAAATAGGGATGGGATAAAATAGATCGAAATGATGTGCAGGGTTTTTTCCTTGGTGAATTGAGCTGAAAAGTTCATTTTTTCAGTCAGGGATCATCCATTTTCATAAATGGGGGCCATTTTCAGGTGAATTTTGGGGGGTTTTTTTCACGATATTGTATTAGAAACACTTCAAATAACCTTTTAGGGTGGGCAATATACATCCACATGAAAATGTTGGCATATAAAAAGTCAAGGCAACGAAGCATCAATCAATTGATTTATAGAAAATGACCGTATTTATTTTGTTTGATTATTTCAGTTAATTCTCAATCCAAATTTTCTGGAAATGTTTATCATGTTAGAGATTACACCAAATAAAGCTGTAAGTATTTATTTCAAATTTTAATTTCTGTAAAATAATAGAATTTTTCAGAAATAATCCCAAGTGTGAGTTTCTATGCAGCTCTTATCATATTGTTAATATCCTTGCTTGACCCTCCAGTGAAAGTGGGGTTGGATGGCAGAATTGTTAGCGTGCACACGCTGTATCATAAAGTCTGTCATTGAGTCGACTGCATGGGTTTTCTCCGAGTCCTCCGGTTTCCTCCCACTGCTAAAGACCCCAATGCGCAAGCAAATTATTGAAATAAAATTAAACCATATGTTAGTCCCGAAATGACCCAGTTTGTGTCGAGTGGGCGTTAAACCCTCCTGTGAAAAGTATCATTAGATAGAATATACACATAGTAAAGCAATGTCTGTAGTACTTTGAAAAGTTAGTGAAAAAGTATTTTGCTCTGATCACAGCACAAACATTGCTAAAACCAGTAGCCAGTAAGTTCTGTTGTGAATCATCCCTGTGATACTGTGGAGATTTTAAACTGTGGTCTTTATATTAGATTAGCATGTGGATTGTGGAAATAGCCTCATAATGGTTTACAAATGTTTCACTTAAATGTTCAAGATTTAATTTCCTACTAAAATTTTCACTGCTTCCATGATGTTGGCCCCCAATAGCCTACATTACGAAACTGTCTGCGTTCATTGTCTATGAAGTTTGCGACAGATGTTGAGTAGGCCTCTGTCCTCCTCGGATTGATATATTCTGCCCTGAAAGTGTACAGTTTTCTTGTGTGTTTTACTTTTTAAAAACTGTTTTAATAGACCATTGTCTTATAATTTGTCATTGGTATCAAATTATGTTTATTTTCAGGATTTATGTGTTGTGATGCAAGATCCCATATCTGATCAAGAACACACTCCAACAACTCCAAATATATCTTTACTAAGTATGCAAAGTCATATTGAAGATTTTGTTAATACTTGCTGTTTTCATCTCTGGTCTACCATGTTATGATGCATTATACAACAACTACACTTTTTTGAGATTTTTTTTATCTATATACCAAAATCAGATTACAGTGCCATGAAGTATTAGTATGAATTGTGAGTCTGTGTTATGTGCATGTAAATATATGCTATTCTTAACTTTTGTTCATGTATATATATATAGAGAGAGAGAGAGAGAGATTTAAACATTATAAAGATGCAATCTGATTAAAACACAGATCCTATTTTGTTTTTTATAGTTCAAAATTTCATTTTACTTGTCTTTACTACACTAGGATCTGGAAGAGTTGTTATATAACCCATGTTCTGGTTGATTTGAGGAATTAGCCAATGAAACCGTCTGTTGCAGCGAAGTCTTGCGTGCGGTGCACGAAACTGTGGGTATCCTACTAGAAACATCAAATGCCGTTCATATGACCCCTGACACGACCTCCCACTACAACTGGTCAGATCTTCATGTAGTAGAGGCCTTTGGAAGTATATAAAAAAAAAAAAGGAATATAGATGTGTGTTTTAATCAGTTTGATAAAGATGTTTTCTATTGTCATGTTATCAGTAGTTATTTCTAGGACATATTACCATAATATTTTACACATCATGAAAAATATTTTTTTAGTTGAACATAGCATAATTTCATACTAAATGTCAAAGAAATATGGCTTTAATACATTATCTCTTATATTGGACTATATCATATTCTGTCTCCTTATTGTGTTCTCAAACATTGTACTATTTTACTCTCAGGTTAAATTGAAATTAAATATTGCCTGCCAAGCAATACTTCCATTGATGTGAAGTAAAATCATCTTGTTTAATCAAGCCAGATTATGATCTAAGGACAATTTTAAGCTTTGGCTACGAAATATGCTATTCACCTGCTGCCTGTCTCATATATTTAGATTATGTATATTTGAAAGTGTTAAAGTATTGGCTTTGTATTAGATGTTAGAAATCTACCTGATATTGGTTAGATAACATAACTTCATAAATATGTTTAATTCTGAAATCATGTGATCAATTTGTCAGTGTTGTGTGATTCTTTTAGTTAACTGGGACTTCACTTTAACATATAAAGGATGTCATTATGCCCCAAAATGGCAAAGTGAGACAACCAGTTCTGGTAAAATTTATGTGTGTTATGACTACATATGATAATTGGATGTGAAATACAATTGTTAAGTTTAAAGGGGATAACCTTTTGTTGAATTGGGTTGATCTGATTTATTATTTAGATTATTAACAAATTGTTTTGAAACATGTAGAGGAAATCAGTTTAATTACTAATAATAGATTCTTTTTTAGTTCACACTGTCCAGGCCCGTAGCTAGCCCAAAACTGTGAGGGGGGGGGGGGGCAAGGGCTTCTTGGGGCGCCGATTTACCTGCACTTGACGATCCATGGCGAACGGCACCGTAGATGCGCCTTCCATCGGAAAAGGCTCTAGGGCGCTCTCTCCCCAAAATATTTGTGCCGACAGTGGAACACAAAATCAATTATATTTCTACATTGGCTATATTTGTAGACTGTCTTGTATAATCATTATGGTTTAGAAGTTGTCTGGATGACCATAACTATAAATAGATCAGTGACGAAGATGAGATCTAGTCACATGACTAAACAAAATATACAATCTTGATTAATTAGACAGAGAGCGACTACAGAAGGAAAGGGGCAAATGTTTGCTATCAGGACAAGCAAACCGATCAAAGAAGACTAGGTCACAAACAAATAGACATTTTTTGTTGAAAGTATCTGGACCATTATTCATGGTAGTAGCCATATAGATCCAATCCAGTGTTGGTTTAGATGATAGAAGCTAAACATACCACCCTGACATTCACAGACATACTAGTGAATTCACTGGTAGACAGACAGGATAGGATAGCCCTGGGTTATTGTGCAAAATTAAATAATTTGTTTCTCCTATGAAATTATATATGCCCCAGTAAAAAAAACGTCTCTTATAATCATGTGAATAGAAATGAATGATTTTGAAATTGTAATCACACATGTATGCGCCCTATGTATAATAATAATAATCTGTGATTTATATATATATATATACCTGTATTAACTATATCAGGTAAATGTTGACACATAATAAACTTGTTACATCTTTATCTATTTGTTTGTATTTATGTCTATTATTTTTAACTCTTTTGATGCCACAAGTCACCCACAAGCTACTGGTGAAACTAGGATGAGTCTGTATCTTTTCTCTCCCAATCTTTTTTTGTCATTTTTGTTTTCCAGCTTTTTTAATTTTTTTTGGAGGTGGAATTGAAATTAGGTACACTATGATATATTTCACAGTTACAGATTATGTTCGGGTTTCATGGGATTTCCTTAATTTTTTACTGATTTATGGTCCTCTGTTATAAGATTTCTTGTGTACCTGGTCGATCAGTTTGCCATTATCTTTGGCACAGAATGGAGACCATGGAGTTAAGATACAGACAATAAACTACAGTATTTATATGCATGGCTGACGTTGTCTTTGTAGTTACCTCCCTTCAAAAGTCAATAGGCGTTTTACTGACTGCACACATTTGTTCTTGACTGCAGTGCTGTATGATGAGGTAATCAGAGGTTGTGAGTCCAGGGCACTGTTTCTGTGAATCTTAACTAAAGATATATCCAAATTTTAGTAGATATTTTAAGTTTGATTGGCTAAGCACTAAAATCAATCTAATATTATCCAATCAAATTACTAAAATTTGGATTTTATCTTAGTTAAAATTTCGTGAAACAGACCCCAGATCTTTTACCAATAGGCCTGTGTTGAGGGTTTAATCCAAAAAATGCTGTGACATCGAATGGTGTACTAGTCTCTTGTGAAATAAAAATATACCCCAAATTAGTCCCATTTATTTTCTGAGTGGGTTTGAAATAAAGAACCTAAAGGGGTATATTGATTGATTACATGTTTCACAATTAAACTTTCTCAATTCCACAAATATTAAACTAAAAAAAAAATGGGGGGTGGGGGCTACAAAGCCTGCACTAGCCATATTTGATTTGCTTATTTCATCCTCACTTGTATAAGGGGTTCACGGTGGCCAAGTGGCTAAGACGCTGGCTCACTAACCTGGAGGTCGGGTGTTCGATCCCTGCATTGGCCGAGAAAGTTCATCCAGATTTTCCGGCTTGGTTGACCCTTGTCAGTGATGCAGGACGGAGGGCCTGACAAGGACAGCTGTCTAGTCATTCGGATGAGACGAAAAACCGAGGTCCCGTGTACACATTGGCATGCACGTAAAAGATCCCTTGACAGTTGGAATTCGATATAAGAGTAGGCCGTAGTGCTGCTGTCCAGGCAAAATTTCACTCATTGTGTATGCCCGTCTTCATTAGCCCAGTTCGGAGCAAAACAGTAGGACGTTAAACCCCATTTCATTTCATTTCATTTTCACTTGTATAATGAACAAAGCCTAATCTTCATATATAACTTTATTGCTTGAGACATCATAATAATAATGTTTATTTTTTAATATTAAAATAATATCTCCACTGTTAAATGTACATTAAATATATTTTCTACTCATTAAATCAGTACAAGTAATTATACCTATATCATATTTATCATTGCACATATATTTATGTATAATTCTTTTACATTATTTAACATATTAACAAATTGGACTGATTAATCCAAGGCACATTTATCTATCTCATTTCAAAATGAAAACTCCAAATTATGTTTCAATTACTTTAAACACTTTACTTTTATATTATCCAAATTGAAAATTTTTATTTGATAATTATTTATATTTGCAATCTAAATTTGTATTATTTGTCTTTGTTATAATAAATCCAAGCAAGTAATTTACTGTAAAATCATCTAAAAGTGAATTCAAATATTTATTACCTTATTACACTAAAGCATGTGTATAATATGAAATATATATATACAAATATTCTTAATACAAAAAATTGTGCTTGATATATTAACAGTGAAAAAATAGGGGTATTATAGTATACCCACATTCTACATGGGCATCCAGTTTAAAAGTCTAATCTTTAGTAAAAAAAAACCCAAAACAAACCAATGCCAGATATGTTTAAATTTATTTTGACATCAATTAGAATTCTCAATGCAAGGTCTGTGATTGGATGACTATTCGTTGAACATGATGAACATAGAATGTGGGTATACTTTTAACTACCTGTAATCTAATAAAATAACTATATCTTAATGCTACAAAATATTAGGATCTTTATAAAATATAATTATATTCAAACTTAATAATAACTCCCTTGTAATACAGGATTATATATAGAAAGCATCTTCTAATCTATCTTTTAATAAATGAACTGGCAATAATGTTCTTTCATTCTTTAAGTCATAAACACATTTATACATATAACTTTATTGTATAAATGTAGGCAACAAGTTATTTTCTAGAAACTTGTACTAGTGAATTTAAATCTATTAATATTAATATAATGCCAAATATCAATTTAACTATACCTTTACCTACATTCCTATATCTAATATACTATTTTAGTCTAGCTTTAGACAAATATATTACAGTTCAGATCCGTACCTTCCTGGGTTGGGTTGGGTTGGGTGGGTTAAAGATATATAGGCTATATTGATATATGAATACATAAGTGCAAGCAACACTGTAACGCTATAATCATTTATTTTAATAAATGCAGTTGGTAAATACACATTTTTAATTTTTAAATAATTAGAAATAGCACAAAATTTATATAAGATAAATCTATATTGTTATGCTAAAGAAAACATATTTTTATATAAATTCAATAGTTTGCTATATGCACTTTCTATTTATGTTGTGTTCAGTCTATTTGGTTACATCTGTGTCTGCAAATCATATTTAATTGAAGAATTTTGACGTCACAGATGAACACACATTGAACTTGTATCTGTACTTTTTACATTCTACGACACTACTCAACTTTATCTTCTATTCTTAAGGTACAAAATGGCTATATACAAAAAGATAAAGACATCGAAAAAATACAAAAAGTGAGGAATGTAAATCCAAACATTTGGAAATTGGAATGTGAAGGAATAGGTGTGGGTGAAAGCAGGAATGTACAAAGAACATAATTCCAAGAGAAAACACCATGAAAAGACAAGGAACGAATTAAAAAAATATTATCAGGTCCATGGTTTCATACCATTTGTAAAGTACACTTGACTTAATATCTCTACCCAGTTATAACTATACAAAACTATCAATGTATAACAATTTATACAAAACAATAACAGTCCTCAAACTTAGACATATACCGGTATGTAAATCTTAAAATTGTGCCAAAAATTATTAAAATTTAAAAATACAAAAACATATAGTAATGACATACAATACAAGTTATTTAACATAGAATTTATAAAGCACCATTAAATAAAATACTTGTATTATAAATATGTAATTATATAATCTTTTATTTCTTGTCTCCTGTCTTGTTTTAACTCTGACAAACTTGTTGCCATCTATCCGCTAAACTTCTCTTTTGACCATCTGGTCCAACTGTCGCTGATTTGGCGAAGGTAGTGTCTGTGGGACTCTCCGGTTCTTCTTCTATGCTATTTGGATCTCTTCGGATTCTGAAATAGAAAAACAAATATGAATTTTAAAGAACATAGATTATGTTACCGGTAATAAGATATTCATAACTCAAACTTAATCTACAAAAAATTACCAAATGTACTCTTGAAATATATGATGCTTTTTTTGGCAAAGTATTTAATGACCTAAAATGACTTGACCTCTGATTTGGCTAACAAAAAAAAAATGTCTGATGTATTGATTTGCTTATAACTGTTTACATTTAAAACTTTAGGTCCACAGATACAGTCAGTGTGAAATATAACTGATTTTGTTTCATCACTAAGCAAAATAACAAAAGATCAATCCCATTCAACACTATATTTTGACCTAAATCAAAGAGGTTTAGTTCTTTTAGATGAGCTTGATATTTCCCAGGCTATTTTTTATACACCAGTATTAAAAGATACAGAGTGATACCATGAAAGGATATTGGAGAACATATAAGCATACAGTGATTTGTTGGATAAAAAAGTAACAGGTTTCTGATAGCTTTTTATATGTTAATGTTATCATCAGTAGGTTTACTGGCAGAGTACATTATGCGTGATAAGATACAAAGCAAATATTCACTTTTTTGGTTCACATTGTGCTCGGTGCAGAGTTGTACATGTTTGACACTTTTGAATATGTATACTGTATGTACCGTAAACCTGACAAAAATACACTTTAATGTAGACTTTAATTATACAGTTATCAACTGAATACTTAACAATGAAAAGCTAATTACGGTAAATTAAATTGAAGGTGGAATTAACTAATGTCAACATTGTCAATAAATACATATGTTGTGGATGTTTCTGATAAGAATAATAAATTAGCTATTAGTAAGGAGTGATATATATGTTCATGCATTCTTTTAACTTATATCTATTGATTTTAAACACATCTATTAAACACATTGATGGAGAAAATAATTAACATCTCTCAAAATATCAATTATGCACCCAGGCTCCTCTTGTTAAGACATTTTTGGACATATTTTAACATCTAATGTTTTTGTCTTGTTTCAGCATGGTGGAAAGAAGCAAGATAAAAAAAAACCAATTATGTCCAAGAAGTACTGTATTTCCTTTTATATTTGACTCATGAATTAATCAAATTAAGAGTTAATTAATATTTTCATCCAACAACTGCACATTTACACATTTCAGGGACATATAATAAATATTTGTCAGTAAGTATACATATATGGTGTTTAAAACCAAAACCGGTTTATCACAAAAATATAGATATATTTTGATATATCAATCAATACAATTCATATTGTCATTGGCCTATTAATACTCTCAGACACAACGATAATCATAAATCTACCTTTCAGTAATGATTCCAAATTAATAATAGGAACCTTAGAAGCTTATTTGAAATAGCAGAATATAGAAATATATAGAAGAAGAAGAAACTTAAGTTCCTGAACAAGAGAATTCTGATCCAAGAGATACCATATCCTTGAAACCGGGTTTTATCCCAAACTTATTCCACACCCATTACCTAATCCTGAGGAATGGAGAGATTTTAACAGACATAGTAGAACTAAAGATCTAAAAACCAAGAGAGAGAAATTCTGCTATTTCAAATAAAGTGACAGGCTAAATTGAGAAACAGTTATTGACAGACATTTTGTACTCCTTTGAAAACAATTACTGAATAGCAAGGTGCTGTTGTATATTAACAACAAAATTTCCTTTAATATATTTATTTTAACCATACTATAAATAAAGAAGTACAGTATACCATAAATTGTTAATTATATATACTTTTAAGAATTCATGCCTTTTTGAGTCATGCAACTGAAGAAAAGATACTTTTAGTGAATTACTATTAAATTTAATTATCATGCCCGTAAATGAGATAACATTATTAATGTGATCTACTAGTTTTTCATCATGGCATAACCACAGTACATCACTTGTCCAGGTTGCAACCTTTGATCCCACCTTTCTCAGTCAAAACATCCAAAACAGCCTTTTCAGACAAACCATGGAATTATTCATCACCAAGAGAAAGGGGGTTGGTGTTTCCTATGTTTAGTAATTTACTGATTGAAAAGTGATTTTAGACGAGTTATTTGACCCTGGATTTCATTATCCACCTTATACGAATATGAATATAAAAGATCAAGTTTGTTGATATAAACCATGAAGTAGAGGCTAGTAATGATGAATCACAGCTATGCCAAGATGTTTCCTATTCTTTTTTCTATTTCATCAAATCTAACAAGAAAATAATATGTCAATCATATTTTGGCATTGAAGAACAACAAATTATGATACAGACAAATTTAAGTTTACTAGTAAGATTTGATAAATAGTAATTATTGAATAAACCTTTTACCATTTCCCTTCAGGTGAAAACACAGGTAATATATATGTATATATATTTACAAAAAACATAAGACAGACAATATATGCATATGTATATATAGCAGACATTTACAAGGGGTCTATTACTGGGCTCTGTACTTACCCTAAGAATTCCTAGTCCTTGAATCTCTATTTAATAATACATACAGTTTTAATACCAAACATTTTAAAAATAATTTGAAAAAAAAGAATCTAAGAGGTAAAAGGATGCTTTATTGTGCTAATTTATATCCATTCCTAACAATCACATACTGTTTTCATACAAGTTATGTTTCTTTTCATTATACTATGTGCCACCCATTAAAGATATTCTAGAGAAATAAACACAAAAAAGCTGCCTATGATAAATAAATGAACACAAGCAGATCACAGCAAGAAACACAAACTGATATATGGTCAATAACTAGCTATTTCATCTACATAAAGAAAAAAAACCATAGTAACTCACCTTAATTCTTGTTCTCTTTCTCTCATTTCACGTAACTCCCGCTCAATTTTGGATTCAGCCGTTTGACGTGATTCTTTGTAAGAGAACGAGGCACCACCACCTCCTTTAATAGGTTTAACTGGTGATGGTTGTATTTGTGGTTCTTCTGCTGGAGGAGTTTCAGGAGAAGGTATATTATTGCTAGATATACTGCTTCTTTTAAAGTTTCGTTTAACTGATCCATCAATCTGATCAGAACCAGTCACTTCTGTATATTTCATGGGTTCAATATGTTCTTCTGAAGTAGTAATAATTTTGCCTTCCTGTCTGTAAAGTAACTCGCGTTGTTTTTGAGTACTTAGTTCTTGCTGTAACCTACTAGAAGCATAGCTCCTAACCGCTTGCCCGCTGCTATCTTGTCGACTTCTAGGGGACGGTGTATAATTGCTGGTCGGTGTATTTTGTGTGTTTGTTGGTGGTTTCTTTTTAAGGGGAGTTGGTTCCACTGGGGCTTCTATTTCTGGTAAGCCTTTGCTTCGTCGAAGTTCATTTTCCCTTTCTCGAGCTAGTCTGATTTCTCTCTGAATGGGAGTTTCTGAAGTTGGAGCGTATCTTGGGGTACTCTCTTCATCCGAGTCTTGCTGGATATTCGGCATGACTTTTACATCTCGAGATGGGGTATAATCGGAAGTGGTACGACCTGTACTTTGACTAGAAGCTAAGGAATCAACAGAGTCACTGCGTTTGTGATTTTGTATATATGGTGAAACTTCTTTCTGCCATGTACCTTGTTTGGTTGTATTAATGGAAGTGGATGAGGAAGATTTTGTAATGGATTGTGAAGATGCTGATTTAGGTGGAGTCTGATTATTTGGCAAGGATTGTTTATTGTTATTATTTTGAAGAAGTTCTCGCTGTTTTCTGATTTCTTCTTCTCGCTCACGCAATTCTCTCATCTCTCTCGCAATACGACTTTCTCCATCATGTTGGAATCCAGAAATAGCATCTTCATAAGAAATATTAACTTTTTGTTCATTATGGTTGATATCGCTTTGTACATTATTATTATTATTGTTATTTGTTTGGGGGACGGGGGAAGCAGCAGGAGGGCTGGGAACTGGGTCTTCTTCTACAACTACTACTGGTTGTTTCTTTATTCTCTGTCTTTCTAATTCTTCTTCTCTTTCTCTCTGTAATCTTATCTCTCTCTGAATAATACTTTCATATGGCTGATCTTCAGAATTATCACTATCCTGAAATAGAAAAATATTCAAGTTCTAAAATCATTACTGTAATCACTAAAGGAAAAAATTACAAGACCCTATTGATTTAGGTTAAAAAAATAAAATTGTTGATTTCATCGACTTTAAATGTTCAGATAATAACTGTTGATACAGTACATGTAAGTCAAACATTTAACTAAGACTTAATCTCTACAGTGACTAATCCTTTCAATCCATTTCAATATATTGATCAAAATCAAAGAGATTTAGCAATTTGAAGATGGTTAAAATCTTTGATTACCATCAGTTACAAATTTAGATTAAAGGAAGGGGAAAATGAAGAGGGTTGTACAGGGTTGCACACTCTTGCCAAATTACAGTAATTACAACTTTTTTATTCTGCACCACTTCTTTTTCTGGATGCACCATCAAATTTATTTTCTTGATTACCCTTTAAAGACTGGACAAAATGCACGATTCTAGATTAATATTGTACGATATACAGTTTGTACATAATGGAACAAGGACAGTAAATATAAATCTTCACAAACACACACTGTATAATAAGTGTATACAAAGAAAAGAAAAGTAAGGATGAAATTGGAGACACAGGTGTTAATAACATGACAGTTCAGAATGCTCAATTATTCTCCATGGTTGCATATGAATAATAATTGCAAATAATAAACAGACTATCTACCAGGATCTGTATAATTATCATGCATATTGACTTTCATGTCTAGTCTACAGGGTACCAGACATATTAAAAAAACACCCTACAGAACAACATGTCAAGAACACACAATTTGGTTTTTTTACTCTTAAAGAAAACACAAAAAAAATGTTCAGGCTTGTGCCTATTTATTTAGTTTTATCACTCAGCTTTAAAAGATTAATGCAATGGTGACTATTGTCATTGCTTGTCCTTGTAAATCCTATAATCTTAAAACTGTTCAAGCTTTTAGGCAAGTTTTATCAAGTATTAGAAAGAATTAGATGCTTTAAGACTGTTTGTTCTGTAAGTTTGATGTGAGTAGTTAGAAAATGTCTCTATTCGAAAGAAGAAAAAATTTAATAAAAGTTAAACAAGCTTTTCAAATTGATCATGTGAGTAAAGTCAATAACAGCTACAACATGTAAGGAAAAAGGCTAATACTAATAAAACCTTCAACTGAGCTGTAAACTTTGTATGTAAAAAGATCTTTATGAGATGTTGTTAAGAGATTTTATTCATCAAGTTACCTGTTTACAACATAACCTTGAATATCACTTTCTGTTTAAATAAACAGTATGTTACTAGGTCCCATATAGAAGTTGGCTCTTACACATGCAACTTAGATAATAGGATCTGTCATTGAGTAAAGTGACATGGTTTCAATTCCAGGCTTGTACATGACAAGGAGTAGGGGTCGTCTGCCCCAACTTTGTGGACTTCTCAAGATCCTCCGGTTTCCTCTGACTAATTAATTATTGAAATAAAATTGTCCTGTAGATTAGTCCCAATATTACCTATGTTGTGTTGAGTGTCTGTTAAAGGCCCCCCCTCTCTCTTTCTCTTATAAAGGGGAATGCATTTTGAAATTCATATTCTATCATTTTAACAAGCCTGCTAATCTTGATCTTGAGAAATAGAAAACATTTTTACCTGGTTTGCTTTAACTGGTGTCAAATTTTTCCTCTTGAGTGCAACTTCTCTTTCTTCTTGCTCGCGGAGTTCTTGTTGAATTAATGATTCACGTTGCCACATTTCTGAACCACGATCAGCTTCTGTCATCTCATGATAAAGTGGTTTATTTGAAGGTGGAGAATTAGCAGCATTTTCGAAACTAGAAATGTCCAATTTACCATTTTGTTGTTCTAATTTGAGTCTTTCCTCTTTTTCTCGTCGGAGAAGATCCTCCCTTTCATTAGCTAAACGAATTTCACGATCTATAGCACTCTCTGTGTCAGCCATTTTGTTCGGTGATGAAGTGAGGTCCTCTTGTTGTCTAATGGTGCCTCGAGGTATAACTTGATTAGGAAGTTTGACTTCCCAATGTCGTACACTGCTTTTAGGCTTTTCCTTAGGGTCTTTATATTGGTTATCTATATGGTCTTTAAATACACCTTCCCACTGGCGTTTTGTATTATGTAAACTATCTGATAGAGACTGACGATTCACAGAGTCAGTGCTTTCATTTTCCTGCACAATATTTTGACTAAAAAGATTATTTCTTTCTCCGGATGAATTATTCCAACCTATATCCGGGACACGATTTTTCACTGGTTCAGTGTTTACTTCCCAATGTTTTACTGGACTTTTTTCTGTATTCTGAATGGGTAGTTCTTCCGCCTCTGTAAAATACAAAATATCAAAATATTAAAGCTAACTTCAAAGGATGAAAACAAACATTTTATACACGTTTTGCTCATGAAGTATTTTTAACATAAATATAACAATCCTTTTGACTTAAAAGGTTAAAGTTGTGAATTAAGAATAATGTAAAATGTGACTTGGACCATGTACATGTGGTATTAATTGCATGGCATTAAATAAAGATATATAAATGGTGTTTTGGGTGTATATTGTTGACTTTGATGTAATATGAGGCTATATATGGTGTGTGTGTTTGTGTAGTCAGGTGAATAGAATAGGTGTGTTTTATTGACTGTGTATATTTAGTATATATATATGCCCTTAGATTTATTATCTATCTGATATAACAGGTCTTTCATCTTAATTTTATACTTTTTTTACTAGATTTTATCTACACAAACACATGTACCGGTATATATCATATTTTTATGAATAAATAAATGTCATATGAAAAACAGTATATATATATAAACTAAATCCATTATATAAACATGTAGACTACTTTACATAAAAACATGATTTTTTCTAGAACGAAAAATATCAAAGTTAATAAAAAACCTCATATTAATGTATTACGTAAAGAAGCATAAAACTGTCTACTACAAAAATACGAAAACATCACATGGTACAGATGCATGTGACCAGGATGCATTTTATCTTTATGTAAGCTAAATAAATGTATCTGAGCTGTTTTTGTTAACATCAAATTATAATATATTATATTATAATGCAAATTGTCAAGAAACAACAACAAAATAGCACAGTCCTTCAAACGGGATAATAAAAATATACAAAGGTTGTAATTATATTCTATAATTATATAATACTAGCTGTTTTCCCTGTATTATGCATGGGGTGTCTCTTGACACCTTGTGAAAATGGAAGTATTATAGCTCCAAAAGTGGTAGTGTCACGTCAGCAGTCCTATGTCACTACCTGGCTCAAGGTGCTCTAATAGCCCTAATTTCAGGCTCAGGACTGACTCCAAACAACAGTAACCAATATATATAGATTAGTTTATATGACAGCAGATATTATGAAATAATAACTGATCAATTTAACCTACTGTATTGATACAATATCATATAAAACTGGTTAGGTAATAGGTTACATGATTTTAAGCTCAAGTATTGTTCTCAATAAATGATTAAATCTTATTCTCATATAACATATAAAATTTACCTTGTTTATTTGAGCGTAAATATATTCTGGTACATCCTATAATACATCCACCTATATACACTCCTAATTCTATACACACAAAACCTAACACACCACTGAATCACCTTATCACGTCAATAACTAGACCTATATGATCTTCATTGACAGGTAACAGAAGGTGTGTCTTAAAATATGATTCAAGTATGCAGCATAACGTCATACCTACAAGCATATGACTGTGGGCAAACAGATCATGATGTATTATATGGTATCTATTGTTTGTTTGTGGATGAACAGCAAATATTTACTGTTAATATAGCTATTTATATCAATAAGATATTTATAAGACTATATATCTTATATTGTAACATGACACGTTTATATGGTCAAACCATATATGGTATTATCTAAAACTATATCAAAACATTTTTGAAAGATTTTTATACATAAACATACCGTATAAACCAGTTTTCAAATCAGAGTTGAAAAGGTATTTTATTCTAATTAATTTCCTAATTAGTATAACATATGTATGAGTTTATTTATAATTCTACATGTCATATAAACTAAAACTGCAAATATCTTGGTAATAAGCTGGTAGATTGACTCAAAACTTTGCACACAATCATGTCCAATATAAATATATACTTAAAATTGAGTAAAAATTACAAATGGCAAAATGTGTATAGTTATTGAGAAAAAGAACCATATTATAGAAGAGTTGTTATTGATTGGCTATGATTCACATGAATTAAATGACATAGATAACAATCTATGATTCAATATATAAATATACCTGTAAGGTATTTCTTATTCTCTAACGAGATATTATCCATAATCACTGGATTTATCATACAGCTTTGTGAAATCGCCAAAATTTTATATAGTAATATACTATTAGTGCATATTTTGCTTAATCTCAATGGAAACTACTAATGTCACCCCTCTGCCCAGTGGTAATGTCACTAAACTCTATCTGATATAAAAGAACAAATGCATATATTTCTGATATAAAAGAATATATGCATAAGTATTGAGAAATCAAATATGTGTTTATGATTATGCTCAATTAATCCAGAAATTGAAGAATTAATGGAATAAACTAACTATCAACCATCAACAATGTGAACAAACACATATAGAATATCTCGAAAATGCCCAATGGCAGACTGATTACCACTCGGCATCATATTCTACGCAAAATTTTACTCTAGAAAAGTTTGGTCTGGTTTTGTGCCCATTTGATGGACACCGCCCTCGCCCCCTGCACTGAGCCTCCAGACTAATAAAAGGTATCCAAACATATTTTTTTTTTTTACGTGAAGTAAGTATCAGAGAAGAAAATCTACTCAAATAAGCAGGTCGATTCTTGTGACATTCTGTGTCACCTTGAATATAATCAAGTATCATGAATAGATATCAAAAGGAGATGGTACGTACTGCCAGTAAGATGAGATTGCACCAGGGAGGAGTGGCAAATATAGAGGTTCAACATGCTATGCAGTTTTGATCGCTATGCATAGAAAATAAATCATAATACATTATTAGGTAATACAGATACTCTATTTGATTTATATAAGACATGTCATTGTTTGACCTATCATAGGTAAATAATATATAATATACACTACCCATATAATGTTATCTGTAGAAGTTTTTATATATATAATTTTACTTACCATCCTATATTATATTTACAAGTCATTTTTGTATTTTCTATCTCAAAGTCATTTTGTCCATACAATATTGGGTTACTTAAGGTGCAATTAATCCCTACTTTTATTTAACAGACCAATAGATACACACAAGTAGGGTTTAGCATCCATCAAACACAAACTAGGCCATTTTGGGACTAACATGGTAAATTGTTATTGCGCGTAGGGGTCTTTCAAAGTGGGAGGGAACCCGAAGATCCCAAGAAAACACACAAGGTTAGGCAAGGGAACCAACACCTTGTCACATTCAAGTGTGGGATTGAAACCACTCCACCTTACTCAATGACAGATCTTATGATCTAAAGTGCCATGCTTTAGAAATGTGAATTATTTCCATACAAGACATTTCGTCCCATTTCTGGCGAACCGACGAATCTGATATATTAAAGTATTGGGAATTATGTGTTTGAAATTTGCGTTCAGTGTCCTGATGTATATGTATGAAATATTAAATCACAAATGAATTTTATATTTGATGGCTACAGAGATAACAACAGAACGCAAATTTCAAACATATCTCTCAATACTTAAATATATCAGATTCGTCGGTTCGCCAAAAGAGCGATGATTTTTGCCATTCTGATATATTGTATTCAATAGCAAAAAAAAGTAACTCAAAATGATGATAAAACCAAATCTTATGTTGAAAAAGTTTAGAATTTACACTACGAATGTCATTCTCCTATGATAACATAAAACATACCTTAAATGAAACTAAAATAAGCTGACTCCACAATCATTTAAATCCAAACAAAATTTACTGGTAACTGTTTCAAGTTTGTTCAATCACTAATCGAAATATCACATCAGATTAACCCTCTTCAATCCTTTACATTGATCTAAATCTCCTTACCATACATTTCCAAAAGATATAAACTTATATAATACCTGTTAATCTTCAATTGTACAAATATCATAGCAGATTTAATGGATTAGAAAATTTAGCCTCACACCATCAGACTACAGTTGTTCAACTTGAGAATGTTAACATGTATATAAACGTTTAATTATAGAATGTGGAATGAAGGTTGATAGATGACAGTCTGTCAGTTACATTACACATACATCTCACCTGTATGACACTTCATTTACTATTCTCGAGTCCCCATAACACACACTGAAGTCTTATTACCCAGGTAAAAAGATCAAAGAAATTGGTGATTGTTTATTTTCCTGGTGTGTCAACTAATAAAATACATAATGAAAAAGTCTTATGTTGTCTTAAACAATATCCTTGACTCAAATCACCCAATATCATAACTTCACTTTAGTGGAGTTTAGACGGACAATTGATTAAGAATTTTTCTACAAAATAAAAGGTTTTTTTTATGTTCACACAGCTAATAAATATCCCATGTACAGTTTTATATTTTCAAAACCAGTCACTTAAAATCTCTATCAATACCATTATCACTGTTAGAAATATTTTCCTGGACATGTAAGGAAATACATTCTTTTGTCTACAATGCAGTTGATCAGTTCAAACTTACCCAATTTTTTCCTCTATTTTGTATTAATCCATCTCACTGTTAGAAAGTTTAGTTAGATAATGCTCTAATATCTAGATAACGCTCTAATATTTAAACTTAGAGACAGACTTATGATCCCCCACACATGAGTAATACACCATACATTCTTTAAGATCCTAGCTAAATGTGATTTATGACTTGATCCCATGTATTCAATGGCTGGGTTAGATACCTTTCATGTCTGCAAGGTCATTGATATCTGCATGCCCGGGCAAATATTATTAAATGCTTGAATAAGTTTTTGAGATGATTAAGGTTAGAAATCTATGATAAAGCTTAACTTCTATTTAGATGTGTACCATTTGGAATGATATTGGTATGTCAAAGTTTACAGAAATGAAATGGGGTGTAAGTTTAAAGAACAGGATCCTTGTTTCGATTATATCTGACGGTCTTAATCATGAATGACTTAGCAGTGAAATTTAGCCTACCTGCTTGTCAATTTGCATGCCTTAAAATCATGTATTTTATAAAATCTGTAAATACAACAATTACAGTAAATTTAATGTTATAACTGAATCCTAAACTAAGGACTTTTTACTAATGTTTCAATGAGCAATAACACTTAACTGC